CCCCCCCATCCCCCCAAAAAAACCTAGAACACAACACAATTTGGCGACTGCTAGGTCAAAAAATTCCTCAGAGCAACGGTCCTTTGGCAATACTCAAAGATGGTAACCTAAACAATTCAGTGCAGCAGCATGCATTGGAAGCAAAGCATTTGCCAGTGGTAATTTTCAGGCTCCAGCTGGGATAGGTTATGAATTATATTTCTCTATTATCATCATAACCCTAAAAAACACCTCTATTCAGCAATGTTCATCTTTTGCTGAATATAAGAGAGAATAAAAACAAGCAGTTATATACATATATATACATACACACACACACACATATAGAGAGAGAGAGTAGAAATGCCATACGTACACGCGGCATATTGTGCGTGAAGATGAGTTGAGATCTGAGGAAGCTGATGGCGTCTCGCCACTGGATGTGAGAATGGTATCCGGCATCAGAGCAGCTCAATCGCTAGTTAGAATCCAATTTGAGGAAGAGTAGAGACGAAACTCTTGAATGGCTGCTATATATTCTCGCTGGCTAGGAGCACACTACGTGCGATGAGTGTCCAACTTAGAAACTAATTACCGGAATAATATTAGAAAAGAAAAGTATTTAAGCATTTTTTCCATAATGGTAATATAGTGTAATGAACAAAACTTTGGAGGAATGGAAGGCGGAAAGAGCATTCTAAAATCTGAGTAGGGAGTGTCTTAATATCTCATACCACATCTCTAGTTGAGAAGCATTCAACCGTAATAGGTTGCTCAATTTGGCAGCTTCGAATCCCTTCATGTTAATCCAATTGTCCCCTGTTGATTTGTGTTGAATTATAAGTATCCTCATTAGTTAGACAAATAAGGGAATGGAGAGTTTGTAACACCCCAACCCGCGTAACCCGAACCAACGAGTTAGCGAATCGGGTAGTTACTAATTTGGTATTCACATGCATAATATTTTAAAAAAACTCTTAGAAATAACACAAACATTCATATTTATTTAAAAACAAATCATCATTTAATCGGAGTAAACAAAGTCAAGCGTTGCGGAAGCCTTGAAACAACATTCAACATTTTAGTAATTTAAATAACCAGATTCAACAAACTATATTTAATTTAAATAAAATAACGTCGGGCCATCCCCCAGCGTCACGCCAGGCTGCTCCTCATCCAATCCTTGATCCCTACCGGTAAAAATAGGGAGAGTGGAAGTATCTAACGCTAGAACTAACTCATAGACTAGCACTCATTAATATATAATCATACAATATCAGAAGAAACAGTAATCACAATTATCAAATCGTATAATTCGTCGTTTGTTCGTTCGTACGTCCGTTCGTTTCAGATCCTTGTGTATTGTTACCATATTTAACATACTAGACCAAAGTCTAACTAAACACACTAGTCATGGACACTCTTGGAAAGGGTGTCCAAGAGGCCAAGCTTGTAAACCCAATGGAAGGTGTCCAATTGGGCGGGTTGGAGACCCTACCACGAAGGTGCCGAGGCAGGTCACGGACTCCCGTACGTACGCTTTAACCCTGGAGACCATCAGGTGTACGCCGACACGTGCATGACCTTAAGTCTTAAAATCCTCAGTCCTATAAGTGATTTCAATATACAATTCAGAACCACCTACCTCTACTAGTTGTCCTATTTCACAAATTTCAATTCAACGTGCAGTTGTGACCAAATCATGTGTTTAAAGTATAAAGAGGGATCAATTTGTAATTAATTTGTAAAATTGGGGCCAAATCATAACTTCAAAATCGGGTAAAAAGCAAATTACACCCTCAAAAAGTAGAAAAAAACTAAAATGCACCCTCACTTTTTTTAAATATCATAACCCACCCTCAAAATGTAATATTGCTTCCCATTTCACATCTAAAAGTCTAAAGCCGTTCACTTACGTTAGTATCCAAATTAAAACATACCCACCCAATAAACCCTAGTCACATCTCCTTAGTGCTCTTCGTTCTTCCCAGCCGTAAAAGAAGCTCTAACATCAATTATATTCACAGGTGAGTCAATTATTGTCATACCCTAGGATTGTGGCTACACTTTGGCCCTTTGAACTTGCGAGAACAAGAGAAATCATGGGAGAAGGTATTCCATGATCCCCAATTTCAAGGTACGATTAATAATTTTAATTGATTATTTTTTTTACTTTCCTTAAGAATTTGAAGCTGAAAAATCATGTTTTTTGCAGCATTGTGTTGAAATCCAAAAAGAGGTCACCCATGACAAATTTGTTTGGAAAATGATTGGTGGAATGACTATGCTGGCAATGGTGATGATGATATTTTAAAGGCAATGGTTTGGTAGCATGAAAAAATGCAGCATTGGTCTTAAGCAAAAAAAAGATAGAACTGAGAATAAATGTGCATTACTTTCTGAGAATAAAGATAGAAGAGGTTCTATTACTTTCTCTTTAACGGCGTTTGATATTTAGGCTTAAGTGGAAGTAACAATACATTTTAAGGGTGGATTAAGGTATTTAAGAAAAGTGAGGGTGCATTTTACCTTTTTTCTACTTTTTGAGGGTGTATTTTGCTTTTTACCCCTTCAAAATCTAAACATTTGGTTTCCGGATTTCCAGAGGCGGTAGCGCTTCAATTCACCCCCTCCAGTCCTTTTCTTCAATCCTAGCACCAGCGAGACAAGGACAGCAGCTCACCCCAAAGACGGCCTAGCGTCAGACAGCAGCGACTGCAGGCAGTAGAAACGGAAACAGCATTCCGATCCCGGCCACAGCAGTTTTCCTTCGAAGCCGGCAGCAACAAAACAGCAAGGGGGAAGAAGAAGGAAAACAGAATCGACAAGAAGAGAAGGAAGAACAGAATAACGAACAGAGCAAGAGAACAGAGGAGGAAAGGCTACGGTAAACAGAAGCCAAGCAAATTTGGTTTTCCCCATTCAATTACAAACTTCTAATTCAATACGCATTCAAAACAATTGATCACACAATTCAATAATCACAATCACCAATTCAACATCAATTGGACGAATATATACCAATGAATCCTAATCTACGAATCAATTCTAACGAGGGATAAATCACTCACCTCAAGAATTTGGTGAAGAATCACGAAGCGGCGATTGGATTCCGGCGTAGCTTTCCGGCGAATTTTCTTCACGAGCGAACTCCTGCGTTTCTCCCTGGATGTCTGGCTCGGCGGAAGGAGCGAAGAGGATGATGAAGTTTAAGGAGCAGGTTCAACGTTTTTTTTCAAGGGCAAATCTCTTTGCACCGAATTTGATACAAGAAATTCAAACTAATTTCAATTTCAATTCTAGTGTTTAGTAGCATAAAATTATGTGGATTTGGAATTGATAATGGGATCTCATGGTTCAAATATTTTGGGTCTGTCCCTGGATACACACGTACCTATGACCTATCATTGCCCTTAGCCTATACATCTCAAACTAGCAAATAAAATGATACTCCATTTGTCCCATTTTAAATTGCATGTTTTCTTTTTTCTCTGTCCCAAAATAAATTGTCTGTTTTTGTTATCATAAACTTTTAAAAGTAAAATATCTAAACTATCCCTAAAATAAGTCACTTTTCTCTGCCTTATCTTCCCATTCATCGTCACTCTCTTCCAGAACCGGATATGGATTCTCATCAAGAATAGACTTCTTGTGCACCGCCTGGGTCAGAGGAATTCCAGTGTTTCCGATTCGGAAATCGACAGGATTATATATCTTAAAAATGGAATTCTTAATAGAATGTTAGAATTGGACAGTCCCATCGGAACACACTCATTCGGGACTACATAGTCTCGCCCACCAAGGGCGCGGAGTATAGAATTCCCGTTTGAAAGGGGCGGCTCCTTAATCTATAAACAGCTTATTAGATCGCGGGACTCCTTTTATATGGATGCTCCCTTTCGCGGTTCTAGAGGATTCTGATTCTTCATTGAGAAAGACTTCTGACGCGGTTGAGGGGCAGCTGACCGACGGAGTGCCGCCATATTGAAAGTTTTGGATTGGGGTATAGAGTCGTAAAAAGTATTGGCAATTTCGAAAAATTAACTCTATTTTTTCTCTTCTTTAAATATATCTCAAAGTCAAAATGGGTGATTTAAAACGGAAAGGGAGGAAGTAGGAAACTACCACTATTTTCACATGGAATCATAATCATCTCTGTGGAGACAACAAAAACAACATCAAAATCACCTCCACATAAGCAGTAAACGACTGAAATTCAAGTTGCCACGGCGTCCATATCGGACTCTACCGCGATCCGTCGCACGCTGGATCTAATCTAGCGGCTGCCACCGTTTCTTTGTCAGGTTTTTTTCTATCTTCCTCCGATCACTCATAAATTTTCGGTTTGTTTAGCAAAAAGTAGTACTAAATTGCCTATTTCTGTCGGTCGCGATGACATTCAATCAAGTTGGCTTTACAAATGAAGCATTGAGATTCACACGGCTGTGGAAATGATTGCTGCGCGTATTTTTTTATCAGTGATGAGGGGTTATGCCGGATTGCCGGGCAGTGTGGCCTGCTGGCAGACATCCCGCCCGGCCGGTGATGTCTATTGGACTTACTTAACATGCAGGGAGGTACCAGACCTTTGGTCTGGTGTTTCCCCGCAGGGGGCTCGTAGTTCCTAAGCTAGCCGAAAAGCTGCAAACTGTAGTCATAGGTGTAGGCTAGGTGTGCCGTGTGTGTGCGAGTGCGATGACATGCCACAAGCCTAGGAGTGGATGTAGGATGGGTGCAATTGATTCAGGTACCGATAGGTGACCCTATTGTTGACAATTGACATGGTAATGTGCGGAATCATGGGCATGTGTGAGATTTAGGTGAGGCTTCTGTTTATACCTCATCAGGCATCATATGTTTGAGAGGGGCATTAAAGAAGAGGGAGAGAAAAGGGTGAGGTACTATTTACCATTCTAAGACCTGTACTTATTTGCTCAGAAAATGTAACCTTGGACTTCTGTGATTCCCTTATATGCCCTATTGTTTATTCTTGAGGGCTTATCACACATTCGCCATCTGTTTCATCTTTTCTGACTTGGCTTAACCCGATTTGAAGGATGCATTGGTCCCCTTGTTTATTGACATCACATGGTTTGTACAAATGTGCTATTGATTATGAGCTCATTTTCTGCAAATATTGATTAATTCCTGTGTTATGGTTTGCATAGCTTGATACTAATAATTTAGCTCTTCATAAAATTTGATGGAATAGGAATATGGTACGGAGTATTAGATAATAGCTGCAGAAAATGGGATGTATAAATCTCAAAAGCTCATAGAGGTGGATTTATGTTTATTCGACTGTTCCTAATCATATTTTCGTTTTCAATATGATTAGCACTTGGTAGATGCTTTAATGTTTTTGTTTTTATCTGCATGAACCATGTAGAGTTTTGAATGCCACATGTGGTTGCTATTTTACCAAGATGCTTTGAGTGTACTCATTTGGAATGACACTTCTTTTGTTTTGTCCCTTGAAGGTTGAGTTAATCTATTCGCTGGGAACCAGAACCAAATAGAGATGTTCTCATTGTTCTACGGGCTTTGGAAGTACGTCTTCAGTAAGACAGAGTTTCATGTCCTTATTTTGGGGATTGACAAAGCTGGAAAAACGGTATCATTCATATGTAGTTCTCTTTTTAAATTCCTATTCATTAGCTTTCTCTTTTGGTTCAGATCATTTAGCTTCCTGCATTAATTTATCAATTGGGGTTTATGAATTCCCACTATCACAAACACATGGCATTCTATTTGTACATGATAAAAGGATCTCATTATCTCGGATTCATAAGTTACACTTGTACAAGCCCTCGATCAATTTTAGTTTTGGAATTGAGTGTGCATCTAGAGACTAATAATTAGAGAGGGGAAGGGGGTAACTAATCTCATCCCCTTTCCCAATACCATGTTGAACCCATCTTATTGTCAATTGTCATTTATGCTATTAGCACTAATTAGAATGCAACTTTGTTCTCGTATTTGTTACAGAAATTATATGTGTGATTTTGTGAAGTAGAATGTCTTGATTATAGATCACTTATATGGTTTTGATTTTAGACATTATTAGAGAAATTGAAGTCACAATTCTTAAACATAGAAGGTCTTCCACCTGATCGCATTGTTCCAACAGTCGGACTGAATATCGGCCGCGTTGAAGTCTCGAATTCAAAACTTGTGTTTTGGGACCTCGGAGGGCAGGTATGTGAAACAACTTTATTTGGTAATAGGACTCACTCATCTTGTAAGATTATGTATACTGTATACCACTATCCCATTTATCATATACAGTGACTAGACCAACAATTTTGCTCCTGGAAGACACATTCCAGTTTTCTAGAATGTCACATGTACATGAATGTATTGTTTGTTTTAGCATTGTCAATAGTTAGTTTGTGCATACATGCTGTTGAAAGTAGATGTGTTTTCCATGAGTTCGTATGTTCATTTCCTTCTCTGATTTTTTGTCTTGGAAAGTTTCCTGTAAAAATCCAGCTACTCCCCCTCTATCCTCTTGGAAACAAGCTCTCTACTCCTCAGGGTAGAGGTAAGGTCCACCATCCACGTACATCTTCCCCCCAGACCTTATGGGTTTGTTTTGTTTTGTTTGGTTTAGAAATTATCAGTAAAGTTCCAAATGCAATCTGGTTGTGCTAGTTTTCATGTGCTTCCTCTTATGGAATTATATGCCTTATGTGGATCATTATGATTTATGTTGCTTCAGCCTGGTCTTCGCTCAATCTGGGAGAAGTATTACGAGGAGGCAAATGCAGTGTTGTTTGTGGTTGATGCTGCTTGTCCGTCACGTTTTGAAGATGCGAAATCCGCACTTGGTAAGTCTTGACATTGATGATGCACTTTAGTCACTGGACAGAGTTTAATTCATGGAGAGATGATGTTGAAGGCCCTCATGATTTGTACATAATTGGCAGAAAAGGTTCTCCGGCATGAGGATCTCCATGGAGCTCCGCTTTTAATAGTGGCAAACAAACAGGTATTTTTTCTGGTTTCTGAAGGCTGTGTTTGGAACCCCGAGTACTCTAGGGAAATAAAATAGAAAGGAAAGAAATTGTGGGGAAAATAAAGATAGGCTAAACAAAATAAATACTCCGTACTACATATGTTAGATATTTGTTGATAGTCATTTATATCTATCTACGCTTGCATTTTCTAATGTAGAGCCAAGCATAAGAAAACAATTTTGTTTTGCTCTTTTTATCCTTTTCCATAGTATTTTCCCGGATCCAAATGTACACTTGGCAAAAACGGAACAATCTTATGTTAATGTTGAAGAGTTCCTTCATAGGATGCTAGTGTACTGTTTGCAAGGCCAAACCCTTGTTCAAGTTACTAAAATGTTTACTATGGAGTTGTTCTATTAAACTATGATTACAAGTCCCTTTTTTTGTTGATGGAGTTCCACAAACTGCATGCCAAGAAAAGAGTGTGAAGTGATGCCTAAGCTTTCTCAACAACAATAATGTGTGGCTTTGGTTTGCATTTTGCCATTTTCTAAAGGAGGTGATTCTGATTTTCAAATAAAGTGATCATAAAAATCACCAGTATCAGGCTCTAATACCTGCGTATGGGCAATCTCCAAAATCGCATTTTGGAAACCGGAATCACCTATCTCATTTTGGCTAAACTACAAACCAAGTAGAAAGGAAGGGTGATTGTTATTCTAAAATCAGCAATAGCATCTCATAATTGAAAACGGAATACACCCAACATATTTCTTGAACTTGTTGTCACAGGATTTGGCTGAAGCTGCATCGGCTGAAGAACTTGACCGGTATCTGGATCTCAAGAAACTGGGTGAGAGAGTCTACAAAATCCAAGCTGTTTCAGCATACGAAGGGTGAGTGGAAGAATATCTATTTCTGGCACATGCAACTATGCTCTTTAGGTTCAGGTTATAAAGCGATTACTTTAGATCCATTTGGTAAAGGTAGTAAAGGTGAATTTGGCTGTAATGGCTGAACTTGCTTGTTCCTGATATTGTTGAAGTTGTGCTTGAATATGAAACAAATATTTAATATATTCCCTATTGATAATATAACAAAGCATATCTTAAAAATATTAACAAGATCATCTTCAGAAAAACAAAAAACAAAAAGCATGTGCAAGATTGATGGCTTGAGTTTTCAGGGTAACAGCCAGATTTTCTACCAAAACCAACTGATTTACTGTTGTGAGAGAAGTGCATAAGTTGATCTTTTTTTGTTTCCAAAGCAACCTGAATGAAAGTAAAAGACACTTTTACCTTCACATTTAGATATCATTTTCTTTAATTTACTTCTATATATATATCTCTATTAGAGAATTCATCCATGTTATGTTTTAATGGTGTACAAGTTACTCAAGCTCAGTTGCCTCGGTGACTTCAACAGTATTTATCCACGGACTCTTTCACTAAACTTGACTTTGGTCGCAGGATCGGAATCAAGGAAAGTGTGAACTGGCTCGTCGATGCAATGGAAAGAAGTAAGAGAACGGAAATGCTGAAACTGCGCGTAGACTCCACCAATTTCTGATCAAAATGCGGATACATGTAATAAAAGACATACCTTGTCCTCATCCACCTCAGGAATTACATTACATGCAAACTCTGTGTAAGTAATACAATGTTCAGTCTTAATTGTTAGCTTTAACACAAATACCACAATTTACACACATTTAACTGATAAAGAGAACCTGAGTGAGCTGTGGGTACTGTGATTTTTGTGCTTACAATTTCGCTTCGGTTTCAAATATCAAGGACCACAAACACAATGTTTTAGAATTGGGGAATATATATATGTAACACTCCTTGTTTTGAAGGACTATTATATAATTATATAATTTACCCTATTCTATTGATATCAAGAGTACATGCATGTAAGAATGGAAAAGTCAATGGAAAATAACATGTGGTCAAATGGAAAACGAAGGGCAAATTTTGGAATTTCTTTCTGTTTTTTTTGGAAGACAATTTCTGCTGTCCTCTATCATCATTCCATCACACAAGAGCTACGAAACTCGGATTGAATGGAATCGTCGCGAAATTTCTTGCCTAGTTGCATTGAGCCCGAATGTGCTTAGAAGCTTTCTAGTTTGCAGGTGCAATTGCTAAACCAAAAGCCATTGCCGAACCTCTTCTGAAAGGCCTCCCCCATTGCAGCATCTTCACTCATTGTTCTCTCATTAGAAATCATCTTCCTTTCCATTCTCATTAGAAATCATCTTCCTTTCCATACAGAACCCCTAGAGTAGGTTTTAACTTTTGATGTGGCATTATTACAACTACTCACTTTGTCACCCATTGATTTTCTCAGACATCATTTACAGGGTCAAATTTAACTCACTTTATTTATTTTTAATACTCATTTCATTTTTTTTCTTGTTTTGTAGAATATTTCATGTAGTATTTTATTGTATAACTTTTAGTTTTAAACTTTACACCTTTTACCAAATAAATTAAATTAAAAATAAAGTCAATCATATCTTATGACGCGCAATATGAAGATCTAAGGGGTCAGAGGGTATACTTTTTTGAGTTCATATTACAAGCATTCTTATAAAAGGAAAACATCCACTCCACAATAAAGGGGACCATGATATGTAACTTTCTCTCCTATATTAATCATCTTCACGCTCTAGAGATAAAGCTACGTCAATGGATTTTAGGCCAAAGCTATGCACAAATGCCCCCCAATGAATAATAAAAGGGCTCCTTTTGCATGGTACCACCAGAAAAAATCCAACGTTTTTTCTTTTTTAAAAAAAAAAAGTGATCCAAGATTTTCTATTGATTTGATTTTTGCATAAATATTGGGTGTTCTTATAAATATCATACTCTTTTCGTTTCTGAGTATTTGTTTACTTTTGATTTTTTTCGGTCAAAATTAGGAAGCTTTGATTTCAAATTAAATAAAAATGGTATGAGATATTGATGCAAAACTAGTTCCGTTAGTTTTATTGTATAAAATGTTTTCAAATATTATTTTACCTAATCAATGTACAATATATATTTTATTTAATAATAGATCAAATATTGAAAATGATTGACTGAAAAAAATTAAAAATGGACAAATAGTCAAGGACAGAGGTAGTATTTAGCATGCTATATCCGGTTATACAATATTTGTTATTTAGATGGATTAACGTCCAACAATAATTTTTTCACTACTACTACAATCTCCATTACAATATAATATATGTCCATATATAAACACAGAATCAATGCCCATTTGTATTTGTGACCTCCCATTAAAGTATAGTAATGTGGATCGAGTACAAGCGTTTAGAAATATCCAACAAATAATTAAATGAAGAGATAAAGATGGGCCAAATGAGAGAAAGAGGCAAGGTTACAAAATTATATACCCCTACCATCTTTGAGTAAAATTGTTTTCAAATCAATTCATTTGAATAATTAGTGTGAAATTTAAAATTAAAATTTATACTCCCTCCATCCATGTTGTTCCTTCCCACATCATTCACATGGTTAAATTTTACTTTCTTTATTTTCATTATTTATTTCATAAAATAATATACTAATGTCATCTATTTTTTGTAAAACTTTTTATGTACTTTAAAATATGTTTTATTTTTTTTAATTTTACACAAACAATTAAATAAATTGAATTAAAAATAAAATTAGTCAAATCTTACAATGCGTAATAGTAAAACCCAACTTGGCCAGAGGGAATATTTAAACATACTTAAAAGAATTTACAAAACAAGTGTTGAGACAACTATTTTATCAAATGAGTAACAAAAACAAAATAAATAAAAAAACAATTACTCCCTCCGTCCCAGAGTATTTGTCCACTTTTATTTTTACACACCATGCAATACACTTCTTTAATTTATTTTATCTTGTAATTTGTATATTAAAAAATTATAGAAATTATATATTAATAATCTATATGTTAAGACAAATCAAACAAGATCACACATGACTATATTTAAGCTTACATATTGAGACAATTTGATGAGTCAAAGTGCTTAGATAAACAGTTCCAAAAGTCAAAAGTGAACAAATATAGTGGGACGGATGTAGTATTATCATAGTGGTTATCCTTAATACATTTGGGTGATGTTATAACTATGAATAAAGCTAGGTGTTCACCACTTTGGGTAGGTACACCACTTTGTAACCCAAAACTTTGCACTTACACTTTGATCATTTACACCGGCACAAAATGTCGTGATCATAAAATTTAACTCTGACATTTTGTGTTATGGTTAATCATCAAAGTGTCAGTGCAAAGCTTTGAAGATTAAAGTGGTGTACACCTAACATGATTGGCATTAGAAACTTAATTAAACTTTGGGAAGTGATTGTCTTATGATTATATGGAGGAATACAACAATGATATCAAACACAGAAAAAAAAATACCCCAAAAAATGCAAGATCCATAAATTGAGAACCAATGCTTTAACTCTACCACAACGAGCAAAACTGAAAAGAAACACCCTAAAGGCCACAACCCAATTCAATGGTCCAAACCTTGCCCTAAAACGTACTCCCTCCGCCCTGTTTTAAATCGCCTGTTTTGACTTTGAAACATACTACCTCTGTCCCAGAGTATTTGTCCACTTTCATTTTTACACACCATCCAATATACTTCTTTAATCCATTTTATCTTGTAATTTGTATATTAAAAAATTATAAAAATTATATATTAATAATCCATATGTTAAGACAAATCAAACAAGATCACACATGACTATATTTAGGCTTACACATTGAGAGAAATTGATGAGTCAAAGTGCTTAGATGAACAGTTCCAAAAGTCAAAACTAGACGAATACTCCGGGACGGAGGGAGTATTTAAAAAAGAAAAAAACTAGAGTTGACTTTCTGAAATTGTTATTACTTTTTAAGAGGGGTGGCGATGAATGACAAAATAAGGTGGAGAAGAGTGACTTATTTTAGGGGTAGTCTAGGTATTTTACTCTTAAAAGTTTACGATAAGAAGAAACAGGCAACTTATTTTGGAACGGAGAAAAAAAACAGACAATTTAAAATAGGGAGTACTATGCTAGACATGGGGGGGGGGGGTTGTTCAGGAACAATGTTTGTAACAAGCATCGCCGTTTTAGTTAAAGTTTAAAAGAACTAAAGCTAAAGACTACACTTACATAGCTTTTACATAATATTCAAACTAAACTCTAATCTGATTTGTGAATGATGGACTAATACATAAAACAAAGGAAAACAATAGTTATTTGGGCATATGCCGAAATCGGAGTTCACAAGAAAGAATAAGGTCCTCAAAGATCTGTTTTGTAAGCCTCTGGTTTGAACCACAGTGAGAAGTCACCTCCTTCGCTTTTCAATTTCTCAGTTGCAGGCCCAATTTTCTCTAGAAGCTGCAGAAACGTTCGGGTATTTAGTCTATTAAATGTGATGATGTAAATTAGATAGATTGGTTTATTATTCTAGACCGGGTCTAAGGTGATAAGCTAAGTCGGAAAACTAACAAGCAAAATAATAAGTCAAGTTACTAGAAAGGTTGTAGGTGGAAGCACTTGTAGCGTCTTTATTATTGATATTTTGTAGAGTGAAAGTACAAGTATGAGATAAAGTATATCAAAATTTGGTCATTTCCTCTCTTTACGACAATGTATATATAGACTAGAGAGCGGGTATTGTCCATGCATGTGGTAATCAACCACGCACACTTAGTGCGACCACGTAATTTCTTGACTTTTAGTTGAAGTGTAATGATCCTGGCTTGTTGTTATGATGGCGAAGGCCGGTGCACTCATGTGATGCATGTTACTTCAAACATAGATCTTGAAATGAATCATCGCGGGCGATTGGAGCAACTGGGCTTTACAACCAAAGGCCCATCATCGCGGGTGATTTGGTCAACGGGCTATATCTATACAACCGGTCCTATTTGTGACTTGAAAAATAATTTCAGTATATCTCCCAAAATGATCCAAAGTTTATATGAATAGACCGGGCTATCACCTTCACAATTGACCATACGATTTGAATCAGAGCACTCCCACTATAGTGAATAGCCCATCACACCAGTGATTAGTATAAGACCGACTTGTGCCTTCCTGTTTTAGGATGATATCAACAAAAAACCTAGCAGATAGGGTTGTATAGACTGGTCCAATTGGTTGACTTGGTCACTCATGGGTTTATACCCCCCCAATAAGTCCCCTACTTCTGGTCTTGTGAGAATCATCAATAGCAAGAAGGATACAAGTTGAGTAGTTCGTTACTTAAGTCCGAAATTTTGCTCAAAAAATATAAAATTCAAATTCCAAAATTTTGTGATTCAAAATTTTGATTTGAAATCCAAATTATCTCCAAGCGGCGACACATGTGACGTCCTTTGGCACTCCCCGTTTGAAATTTGAATTTTAAATTCGTGTGCAATTATTGTGGCCACCTCCGGTTGGGCGTGGCCACCTCAGTCCTTTGAGTCCAAGTAACTAGCCTTTCCTCTCTCTATACTCTGTTAGCTCAAGCATGGTAAATAACTAAATATGGCCATGTCAAAAGGTACTAACAGCCAGAATGACGAAAGGTACTAATAGCCAGAACTAAATATGGCCATGTCGAAAGGTACTAATGGCCATGTCGAAAGGAAAGTCCCATCGAGAAACTTGATGAAGGCAAACCGGTCTTTCCAACCCTTGTTGGAAGGGGATGGCCAATTATAAAAATACGGCCTTTATGTTTATTTTGTGCTATATCAATTTTATAAATTGATATCAAAATAAATATACTTTAGATTTGAACATTTGAGAGGAAAGGAATTTATTTTCTCTCCTTTGTCTAGATTTTTGAAAATAT